TTAACAGCCAAACGCGCTAGCCGATTGCGCCATGGAGGCTCTGTTGCTCCATGAATATCACGATCTTAAAACAGGTAACGGGGAAATGTTTTATTTTTCACAGTTTTGTCAAAAATTTAAATACTTCAATTGCAAAAAAAAAAAAAAATGTTTTGAAATGAGTTTCGAAGTGTAGCATAATATTTCGTGTGTATATTACGTAATGGGTTCTCATGAAGTAAACAGCCTTTTTGCATTCAAAAACTTTCGCCCCCGGGTGGGCTCGAACCACCAACCTTTCGGTTAACAGCCGAACGCGCTAGCCGATTGCGCCACGGAGGCTCAGTTGTGAATAGAAAACAAAAATTAAAGTAAAAATCTGTCAATAGCTCAAAATTGGTAAACGGGAAAAAGTTATAGTATGCAAAGTTATGTCTACGGTTTAAATACGAGAATTGCAAAAAATTATGTTTCAATGAATTTCTAGGGGTAAGATGATATTCGGTGTGTATATTACGTAATTACTTTTAATGAAGTAAATAGCTTTTTTTGCTTTTAAAAACGTTCGCCACCGGGTGGGCTTCAACCACCAACCTTTCGGTTAACAGCCGATTGCGCCACGGAGTCTCTGTTGCTACTTGAAAATTAAAATTCACGTCATGATCTATCACGATCTTAAAACTGGTAACTGGGGAAAAGTTTTAGTTTTCAAAGTTTTGTCTACGGTTTAAATACTTGAATTGCAAAAAAGATGTTGAAATGAGTCCCGAAGTGTAGCATAATATTTCGTGTGTATATTACGTAATGGGTTCTCATGAAGTAAATAGCCTTTTTGCATTCAAAAACTTTCGCCCCCGGGTGGGCTCGAACCACCAACCTTTCGGTTAACAGCCGAACGCGCTAGCCGATTGCGCCACGGAGGCTCTGTTGCTGCATGAATATCACGATCTTAAAACAGGTAACTGGGGAAAAGTTTTAGTTTTCAAAGTTTTGTCAAAGGTTTAAATACTTGAATTGCAAAAAAGATGTTGAAATGAGTCCCGAAGTGTAGCATAATATTTCGTGTGTATATTACGTAATGGGTTCTCATGAAGTAAATAGCCTTTTTGCATTCAAAAACTTTCGCCCCCGGGTGGGCTCGAACCACCAACCTTTCGGTTAACAGCCGAACGCGCTAGCCGATTGCGCCACGGAGGCTCTGTTGCTGCATGAATATCACGATCTTAAAACAGGTAACTGGGGAAAAGTTTTAGTTTTCAAAGTTTTGTCTACGGTTTAAATACTTGAATTGCAAAAAGATGTTGAAATGAGTCCCGAAGTGTAGCATAATATTTCGTGTGTATATTACGTAATGGGTTCTCATGAAGTAAATAGCCTTTTGCATTCAAAAACTTTCGCCCCCGGGTGGGCTCGAACCACCAACCTTTCGGTTAACAGCCGAACGCGCTAGCCGATTGCGCCACGGAGGCTCTTGCTGCATGAATATCACGATCTTAAAACAGGTAACTGGGGAAAAGTTTTAGTTTTCAAAGTTTTGTCTACTGTTTAAATACTTGAATTGCAAAAAAAGATGTTGAAATGAGTCCCGAAGTGTAGCATAATATTTCGTGTGTATATTACGTAATGGGTTCTCATGAAGTAAATAGCCTTTTGCATTCAAAAACTTTCGCCCCCGGGTGGGCTCGAACCACCAACCTTTCGGTTAACAGCCGAACGCGCTAGCCGATTGCGCCACGGAGGCTCTGTTGCTGCATGAATATCACGATCTTAAAACAGGTAACTGGGGAAAAGTTTTAGTTTTCAAAGTTTTGTCTACGGTTTAAATACTTGAATTGCAAAAAAGATGTTGAAATGAGTCCCGAAGTGTAGCATAATATTTCGTGTGTATATTACGTAATGGGTTCTCATGAAGTAAATAGCCTTTTTGCATTCAAAAACTTTCGCCCCCGGGTGGGCTCGAACCACCAACCTCTCGGTTAACAGCCGAACGCGCTAGCCGATTGCGCCACGGAGGCTCTGTTGCTGCATGAATATCACGATCTTAAAACAGGTAACTGGGGAAAAGTTTTAGTTTTCAAAGTTTTGTCTACGGTTTAAATACTTGAATTGCAAAAAGATGTTGAAATGAGTCCCGAAGTGTAGCATAATATTTCGTGTGTATATTACGTAATGGGTTCTCATGAAGTAAATAGCCTTTTGCATTCAAAAACTTTCGCCCCGGGTGGGCTCGAACCACCAACCTTTCGGTTAACAGCCGAACGCGCTAGCCGATTGCGCCACGGAGGCTCTGTTGCTAGTTGAAAATTAAAATTCATGTCATGATCTATCACGATCTTAAAACAGGTAACTGGGGAAAAGTTTTAGTTTTCAAAGATTTGTCTACTGTTTAAATACTTGAATTGCAAAAAAGATGTTGAAATGAGTCCCGAAGTGTAGCATAATATTTCGTGTGTATATTACGTAATGGGTTCTCATGAAGTAAATAGCCTTTTGCATTCAAAAACTTTCGCCCCCGGGTGGGCTCGAACCACCAACCTTTCGGTTAACAGCCGAACGCGCTAGCCGATTGCGCCACGGAGGCTCTGTTGCTGCATGAATATCACGATCTTAAAACAGGTAACTGGGGAAAAGTTTTAGTTTTCAAAGTTTTGTCTACGGTTTAAATACTTGAATTGCAAAAAGATGTTGAAATGAGTCCCGAAGTGTAGCATAATATTTCGTGTGTATATTACGTAATGGGTTCTCATGAAGTAAATAGCCTTTTTGCATTCAAAAACTTTCGCCCCCGGGTGGGCTCGAACCACCAACCTTTCGGTTAACAGCCGAACGCGCTAGCCGATTGCGCCACGGAGGCTCTGTTGCTGCATGAATATCACGATCTTAAAACAGGTAACTGGGGAAAAGTTTTAGTTTTCAAAGTTTTGTCTACGGTTTAAATACTTGAATTGCAAAAAAAAAAAAAAAAGATGTTGAAATGAGTCCGAAGTGTAGCATAATATTTCGTGTGTATATTACGTAATGGGTTCTCATGAAGTAAATAGCCTTTTGCATTCAAAAACTTTCGCCCCCGGGTGGGCTCGAACCACCAACCTTTCGGTTAACAGCCGAACGCGCTAGCCGATTGCGCCACGGAGGCTCAGTTGTGAATAGAAAACAAAAATTAAAGTAAAAATCTGTCAATAGCTCAAAATTGGTAAACGGGAAAAAGTTATAGTATGCAAAGTTATGTCTACGGTTTAAATACGAGAATTGCAAAAAATTATGTTTCAATGAATTTCTAGGGGTAAGATGATATTCGGTGTGTATATTACGTAATTACTTTTAATAAAGTAAATAGCTTTTTTTGCTTTTAAAAACGTTCGCCACCGGGTGGGCTTCAACCACCAACCTTTCGGTTAACAGCCGATTGCGCCACGGAGTCTCTGTTGCTACTTGAAAATTAAAATTCACGTCATGATCTATCACGATCTTAAAACTGGTAACTGGGGAAATGTTTTAGTTTTCAAAGTTTTGTCTACGGTTTAAATACTTGAATTGCAAAAAAGATGTTGAAATGAGTCCCGAAGTGTAGCATAATATTTCGTGTGTATATTACGTAATGGGTTCTCATGAAGTAAATAGCCTTTTGCATTCAAAAACTTTCGCCCCCGGGTGGGCTCGAACCACCAACCTTTCGGTTAACAGCCGAACGCGCTAGCCGATTGCGCCACGGAGGCTCTGTTGCTGCATGAATATCACGATCTTAAAACAGGTAACTGGGGAAAAGTTTTAGTTTTCAAAGTTTTGTCTACGGTTTAAATACTTGAATTGCAAAAAGATGTTGAAATGAGTCCCGAAGTGTAGCATAATATTTCGTGTGTATATTACGTAATGGGTTCTCATGAAGTAAATAGCCTTTTTGCATTCAAAAACTTTCGCCCCCGGGTGGGCTCGAACCACCAACCTTTCGGTTAACAGCCGAACGCGCTAGCCGATTGCGCCACGGAGGCTCTGTTGCTGCATGAATATCACGATCTTAAAACAGGTAACTGGGGAAAAGTTTTAGTTTTCAAAGTTTTGTCTACGGTTTAAATACTTGAATTGCAAAAAAGATGTTGAAATGAGTCCCGAAGTGTAGCATAATATTTCGTGTGTATATTACGTAATGGGTTCTCATGAAGTAAATAGCCTTTTGCATTCAAAAACTTTCGCCCCCGGGTGGGCTCGAACCACCAACCTTTCGGTTAACAGCCGAACGCGCTAGCCGATTGCGCCACGGAGGCTCTGTTGCTGCATGAATATCACGATCTTAAAACAGGTAAAAACTGGGGGAAAAGTTTTAGTTTTCAAAGATTTGTCTACTGTTTAAATACTTGAATTGCAAAAAAGATGTTGAAATGAGTCCCGAAGTGTAGCATAATATTTCGTGTGTATATTACGTAATGGGTTCTCATGAAGTAAATAGCCTTTTTGCATTCAAAAACTTTCGCCCCCGGGTGGGCTCGAACCACCAACCTTTCGGTTAACAGCCGAACGCGCTAGCCGATTGCGCCACGGAGGCTCTGTTGCTGCATGAATATCACGATCTTAAAACAGGTAACTGGGGAAAAGTTTTAGTTTTCAAAGTTTTGTCTACGGTTTAAATACTTGAATTGCAAAAAAAAAAATGTTGAAATGAGTCCCGAAGTGTAGCATAATATTTCGTGTGTATATTACGTAATGGGTTCTCATGAAGTAAATAGCCTTTTTGCATTCAAAAACTTTCGCCCCCGGGTGGGCTCGAACCACCAACCTTTCGGTTAACAGCCGAACGCGCTAGCCGATTGCGCCACGGAGGCTCTGTTGCTGCATGAATATCACGATCTTAAAACAGGTAACTGGGGAAAAGTTTTAGTTTTCAAAGTTTTGTCTACGGTTTAAATACTTGAATTGCAAAAAAGATGTTGAAATGAGTCCCGAAGTGTAGCATAATATTTCGTGTGTATATTACGTAATGGGTTCTCATGAGTAAATAGAGAATTTTTTTTGCATTCAAAACTTTTCGCCCCCGGGTGGGCTTTTTTCGAACCACCAACCTTTCGGTTAACAGCCGAACGCGCTAGCCGATTGCGCCACGGAGGCTCTGTTGCGGAGGCTCTGAAAATTAAAATTCATGTCATGATCTATCACGATCTTAAAACTGGTAACTGGGGAAAAGTTTTAGTTTTCAAAGTTTTGTCTACTGTTTAAATACTTGAATTGCAAAAAAGATGTTGAAATGAGTCCCGAAGTGTAGCATAATATTTCGTGTGTATATTACGTAATGGGTTCTCATGAAGTAAATAGCCTTTTGCATTCAAAAACTTTCGCCCCCGGGTGGGCTCGAACCACCAACCTTTCGGTTAACAGCCGAACGCGCTAGCCGATTGCGCCACGGAGGCTCTGTTGCTGCATGAATATCACGATCTTAAAACAGGTAACTGGGGAAAAGTTTTAGTTTTCAAAGTTTTGTCTACGGTTTAAATACTTGAATTGCAAAAAGATGTTGAAATGAGTCCCGAAGTGTAGCATAATATTTCGTGTGTATATTACGTAATGGGTTCTCATGAAGTAAATAGCCTTTTTGCATTCAAAAACTTTCGCCCCCGGGTGGGCTCGAACCACCAACCTTTCGGTTAACAGCCGAACGCGCTAGCCGATTGCGCCACGGAGGCTCAGTTGTGAATAGAAAACAAAAATTAAAGTAAAAATCTGTCAATAGCTCAAAATTGGTAAACGGGAAAAAGTTATAGTATGCAAAAGTTTTGTCTACGGTTTAAATACGAGAATTGCAAAAAATTATGTTTCAATGAATTTCTAGGGGTAAGATGATATTCGGTGTGTATATTACGTAATTACTTTTAATGAAGTAAATAGCTTTTTTGCTTTTAAAAACGTTCGCCACCGGGTGGGCTTCAACCACCAACCTTTCGGTTAACAGCCGATTGCGCCACGGAGCTCTGTTGCTACTTGAAAATTAAAATTCACGTCATGATCTATCACGATCTTAAAACTGGTAACTGGGGAAAAGTTTTAGTTTTCAAAGTTTTGTCTACGGTTTAAATACTTGAATTGCAAAAAAGATGTTGAAATGAGTCCCGAAGTGTAGCATAATATTTCGTGTGTATATTATGTAATGGGTTCTCATGAAGTAAATAGCCTTTTTGCATTCAAAAACTTTCGCCCCCGGGTGGGCTCGAACCACCAACCTTTCGGTTAACAGCCGAACGCGCTAGCCGATTGCGCCACGGAGGCTCTGTTGCTGCATGAATATCACGATCTTAAAACAGGTAACTGGGGAAAAGTTTTAGTTTTCAAAGTTTTGTCTAAGGTTTAAATACTTGAATTGCAAAAAAGATGTTGAAATGAGTCCCGAAGTGTAGCATAATATTTCGTGTGTATATTACGTAATGGGTTCTCATGAAGTAAATAGCCTTTTTGCATTCAAAAACTTTCGCCCCCGGGTGGGCTCGAACCACCAACCTTTCGGTTAACAGCCGAACGCGCTAGCCGATTGCGCCACGGAGGCTCTGTTGCTGCATGAATATCACGATCTTAAAACAGGTAACTGGGGAAAAGTTTTAGTTTTCAAAGTTTTGTCTACGGTTTAAATACTTGAATTGCAAAAAAGATGTTGAAATGAGTCCCGAAGTGTAGCATAATATTTCGTGTGTATATTACGTAATGGGTTCTCATGAAGTAAATAGCCTTTTTGCATTCAAAAACTTTCGCCCCCGGGTGGGCTCGAACCACCAACCTTTCGGTTAACAGCCGAACGCGCTAGCCGATTGCGCCACGGAGGCTCTGTTGCTGCATGAATATCACGATCTTAAAACAGGTAACTGGGGAAAAGTTTTAGTTTTCAAAGTTTTGTCTACTGTTTAAATACTTGAATTGCAAAAAAGATGTTGAAATGAGTCCCGAAGTGTAGCATAATATTTCGTGTGTATATTACGTAATGGGTTCTCATGAAGTAAATAGCCTTTTTGCATTCAAAAACTTTCGCCCCGGGTGGGCTCGAACCACCAACCTTTCGGTTAACAGCCGAACGCGCTAGCCGATTGCGCCACGGAGGCTCTGTTGCTGCATGAATATCACGATCTTAAAACAGGTAACTGGGGAAAAGTTTTAGTTTTCAAAGTTTTGTCTACTGTTTAAATACTTGAATTGCAAAAAAGATGTTGAAATGAGTCCCGAAGTGTAGCATAATATTTCGTGTGTATATTACGTAATGGGTTCTCATGAAGTAAATAGCCTTTTTGCATTTAAAAACTTTCGCCCCCGGGTGGGCTCGAACCACCAACCTTTCGGTTAACAGCCGAACGCGCTAGCCGATTGCGCCACGGAGGCTCTGTTGCTGCATGAATATCACGATCTTAAAACAGGTAACTGGGGAAAAGTTTTAGTTTTCAAAGTTTTGTCTACGGTTTAAATACTTCAATTGCAAAAAAAAAATATGTTGAAATGAGTCCCGAAGTGTAGCATAATATTTCGTGTGTATATTACGTAATGGGTTCTCATGAAGTAAATAGCCTTTTTGCATTCAAAAACTTTCGCCCCCGGGTGGGCTCGAACCACCAACCTTTCGGTTAACAGCCGAACGCGCTAGCCGATTGCGCCACGGAGGCTCAGTTGTGAATAGAAAACAAAAATTAAAGTAAAAATCTGTCAATAGCTCAAAATTGGTAAACGGGAAAAAGTTATAGTATGCAAAGTTATGTCTACGGTTTAAATACGAGAATTGCAAAAAATTATGTTTCAATGAATTTCTAGGGGTAAGATGATATTCGGTGTGTATATTACGTAATTACTTTTAATGAAGTAAATAGCTTTTTTGCTTTTAAAAACGTTCGCCACCGGGTGGGCTTCAACCACCAACCTTTCGGTTAACAGCCGATTGCGCCACGGAGTCTCTGTTGCTACTTGAAAATTAAAATTCACGTCATGATCTATCACGATCTTAAAACTGGTAACTGGGGAAAAGTTTTAGTTTTCAAAGTTTTGTCTACGGTTTAAATACTTGAATTGCAAAAAAGATGTTGAAATGAGTCCCGAAGTGTAGCATAATATTTCGTGTGTATATTACGTAATGGGTTCTCATGAAGTAAATAGCCTTTTGCATTCAAAAACTTTCGCCCCCGGGTGGGCTCGAACCACCAACCTTTCGGTTAACAGCCGAACGCGCTAGCCGATTGCGCCACGGAGGCTCTGTTGCTGCATGAATATCACGATCTTAAAACAGGTAACTGGGGAAAAGTTTTAGTTTTCAAAGTTTTGTCTACGGTTTAAATACTTGAATTGCAAAAAGATGTTGAAATGAGTCCCGAAGTGTAGCATAATATTTCGTGTGTATATTACGTAATGGGTTCTCATGAAGTAAATAGCCTTTTGCATTCAAAAACTTTCGCCCCGGGTGGGCTCGAACCACCAACCTTTCGGTTAACAGCCGAACGCGCTAGCCGATTGCGCCACGGAGGCTCTGTTGCTGCATGAATATCACGATCTTAAAACAGGTAACTGGGGAAAAGTTTTAGTTTTCAAAGTTTTGTCTACGGTTTAAATACTTGAATTGCAAAAAAGATGTTGAAATGAGTCCCGAAGTGTAGCATAATATTTCGTGTGTATATTACGTAATGGGTTCTCATGAAGTAAATAGCCTTTTGCATTCAAAAACTTTCGCCCCCGGGTGGGCTCGAACCACCAACCTTTCGGTTAACAGCCGAACGCGCTAGCCGATTGCGCCACGGAGGCTCTGTTGCTAGTTGAAAATTAAAATTCATGTCATGATCTATCACGATCTTAAAACTGGTAACTGGGGAAAAGTTTAAGTTTTCAAAGATTTGTCTACTGTTTAAATACTTGAATTGCAAAAAGATGTTGAAATGAGTCCCGAAGTGTAGCATAATATTTCGTGTGTATATTACGTAATGGGTTCTCATGAAGTAAATAGCCTTTTTGCATTCAAAAACTTTCGCCCCGGGTGGGCTCGAACCACCAACCTTTCGGTTAACAGCCGAACGCGCTAGCCGATTGCGCCACGGAGGCTCTGTTGCTGCATGAATATCACGATCTTAAAACAGGTAACTGGGGAAAAGTTTTAGTTTTCAAAGTTTTGTCTACGGTTTAAATACTTGAATTGCAAAAAAGATGTTGAAATGAGTCCCGAAGTGTAGCATAATATTTCGTGTGTATATTACGTAATGGGTTCTCATGAAGTAAATAGCCTTTTTGCATTCAAAAACTTTCGCCCCCGGGTGGGCTCGAACCACCAACCTTTCGGTTAACAGCCGAACGCGCTAGCCGATTGCGCCACGGAGGCTCTGTTGCTGCATGAATATCACGATCTTAAAACAGGTAACTGGGGAAAAGTTTTAGTTTTCAAAGTTTTGTCTACGGTTTAAATACTTGAATTGCAAAAAAGATGTTGAAATGAGTCCCGAAGTGTAGCATAATATTTCGTGTGTATATTACGTAATGGGTTCTCATGAAGTAAATAGCCTTTTTGCATTCAAAAACTTTCGCCCCCGGGTGGGCTCGAACCACCAACCTTTCGGTTAACAGCCGAACGCGCTAGCCGATTGCGCCACGGAGGCTCTGTTGCTGCATGAATATCACGATCTTAAAACAGGTAACTGGGGAAAAGTTTTAGTTTTCAAAGTTTTGTCTACGGTTTAAATACTTGAATTGCAAAAAAGATGTTGAAATGAGTCCCGAAGTGTAGCATAATATTTCGTGTGTATATTACGTAATGGGTTCTCATGAAGTAAAGTAAATAGCCTTTTGCATTCAAAAACTTTCGCCCCCGGGTGGGCTCGAACCACCAACCTTTCGGTTAACAGCCGAACGCGCTAGCCGATTGCGCCACGGAGGCTCAGTTGTGAATAGAAAACAAAAATTAAAGTAAAAATCTGTCAATAGCTCAAAATTGGTAAACGGGAAAAAGTTATAGTATGCAAAGTTATGTCTACGGTTTAAATACGAGAATTGCAAAAAATTATGTTTCAATGAATTTCTAGGGGTAAGATGATATTCGGTGTGTATATTACGTAATTACTTTTAATGAAGTAAATAGCTTTTTTGCTTTTAAAAACGTTCGCCACCGG